GCAAATATGAATAAAAAGTGAATGAAATAAACCAGAAATAAACAATAATTCACATAAAATTAGAATATGAAAAGGTAATGAAAGTAAAAGCTTAGAAATAATGGCAAATATTAGTATAAGAACTTGGAAATAGAGGTAAAGAATATGAAAATAGCCCTCAAAGTGCCCATCAGTCGCAAAGGAGTGGAGAGCTGCCTCCTGCTTGCTCAACTTCAATAGTCTAACTGCCTCATGTTCTGCAAACAGCCTTGAGGCCATCCAAGAGAGGACAAGGAATGCTCCGCTAGACTTGCTTGATGACTCACCAAAAGGAGAAAAGAGCGCTTGCGGGCAAATGCTCCACCCGCGCGGATCCGGGAACATGCCTGCACACAGTTCCGGGGCATGTCAAAACTGCTTGAAAAGGCAGCCAACATGAAGCCACGTCGTTTGAATGGAGTCTCTTAGCTTTGACATTGCCCCCCTGTGTCTTGCAACCATCTACCTTCCCAAAGATCAGAACTTGACAAGTGGCCCTTGGAACCCAGGGCAAAACATTCCTGGTTGATAGCAGCTGCCCATGATGGTCAATGGGTTCTGAGGTTCCTTTTGGGGTGACCGTCCTTTGGCCCAAGAACATCCGAGCAACATCGTGCACAAACATGGAGGGATTCTCGCAATGCGCAGAGAGAAGCGCATGCCCGTAGATAAAAACGCGAAACAACCTTTGCGCGAAGCCCAGTGGGGCCTGCCAGTTGTCACATTTGTGAATAGACAGAAAAGCCAGAAAGACCTGGCAATCTGACAAGCAATGGAGAGAAAAACATTGGCTATGGTCTACCCCGAAGCCCAAAACCACCACCCTCCACTTTTGAACTGTTGATATGCTCCTGCTTGTCACTCGAAAAGAAGCAGCCCTTTCTCAGCATTCTTAATGCCAACCTCGAATTGGTCAGGAGGACAGCACTAATCACGGGTCCCTGTTTTATGGGAATGAAATGCCTGTGTAGAGCTCTGCTGAATTCGGGCCCCCCAAATGAAAGGGGAATCCCAAAACCTCCCGGCCGCGATCGCTTCGCCCGGGGCACGTGGAGCCGGGGGTCGTGGAGCGCCTCTCAGGTGAGCCCTGAGAGAGCAGCGCAGCGACCGATCTTTGAGGTGGGGAGATCGTCCAAATCCCCCCCGTTTGACTGCAAATTGCCAAGTGAACCAACATGCGGACACAAAACCCTGGACATGTGGAGTTGTCTGTTTCCGTTGTTCCCTACTTGAAGGGGAGGCAGTGAAGAGGGCCCCACTCCCGTCGTCCTAAGGATAAAATTCAGGCGTTCACGGTCCACCGTCTTGTGAGGCTAACACGCAAACGCATGGAACATGCGAACGCGAATTCAAATTGGTGGGACCCTTTGGCGGGCATCTCAACAGCGTAGAAACTCGACCGACCCCAGTCTGCCCCCCCCCTGCGTTGTTTTTGTGGGTCCACCTCAAGCATCTGCAAACCCCCAGTCTATTGCATACAGTAAACAAGACAAGGATCCTTGTTGAATGGTGTCTGAAGACACTTCGAAGGGAAACCAGTTGGATCCGCAATTGGACACACCCATTTGTTAGGGCTGGGTCGCAATGCAAACGCCCTGTGCCGCAACTTGGCTGGACAACTAATGCCGACATGTCAAGGATTCCTTTAAAATGGGACGTTCGCAAATCAGAGGCTTGTTTATCCCAGATCCACATTGCATAAGTATCGCAAACTGGTCCCGTACCCGGTTGATTACTCCGTCGATAACCCAAGAACAATAAACATTGGCCAATGCGAAGGATCCTCTCCCGCTGCCGGCCTCTAGCTTCCGACCGCTGCTTCGGCCTGCGAAACACATTCGCCATGTTGCTGAATTCTTGATTCTGGCATCGGGATCTGAAATGGGTTGATTCAAGAGATGCCGTCAAAGTCACCGCTTTGAAGGGTTCTCAAGCTTTTGAGCAGAGACCTTTCAACGACCAAGAGGGCAGCTTTGAGGATGTCGCTGTTTGATATAAATTGCTGAGTGAGCTCACGGTCATATATACAGCACACTGGTGCACAGATGAGCCCAAAGTATGTTTGGACAAGGGCCAAATTTACGACTGTGTTGCTCCACGAGTTGGGGGAAACGATGGAACTGCTTTGTTGTTCAACGAGTTGCGAGAAAAACCGTCCGTTTAGGTTGGTCCAAATTGGCGCCGCTATGGGCGGTAGTATGGCTTTTCTCAAAATGCCAGAGCCCACAAATGTTTGGTATCCTGTTGCCATCCCTTTATATAAAGCAACCTCTAAAAGCGCATCCTCAGAAAAACTGAGCCATGGTCAAGACTCTGGTCATTGGCTGAATAAGAATCAGAGACCGAGCCCAACACCCCAGAACATAAAGTACTACAAAATCCCAACCTTGTTCAATCAACCCAAAAAAGCACTCCCCAGCTCAAGAATGAAACACGTGACTATTTTGCCTTTTTCCTACCCTTCTCCGCCAGTCCTGGGCTTGCCCGCAGCGTCTTCCGCCTCTCTGCGCTGTGGCTGTTCGGTCCAACTGTTCAGTTGTGGTAAATTCAACTGACCATCCACTGGATAGTTGGAATCAACAATCAACCTCGAGTGGAGAAAACAGAATGGATTTCCCTGCAAGCCTTCCAGCTAGATCTCCCCCACAAACCAAAATAGGATTCTCAGGGGGTCAGTTCCTCAGAAAGAGGCGCGAAAGAGAAGAGTCCACCAGGGTGAAACGGTTGTTCACACAAATTGCCCGTCCTTTGGCTAGCTGCAGGCGCGAGCAAACCAGTAACCATCAACCTGACCTGAACCCAACCTGGCCAAACACTGAACAGCCCAAACCTCATCCCAAGCGAATCCAAAGCCAACAGTAGAGCAACCATGCTCTGTTGCCCTAAGTTTGAACTGGATGACAATTTAGAGCAGCTTGTCAATTTCGGCCTGGCGTCTTGGAAATCTGCACCAACGGAAAACAAACGGCAAGAACTGCTTTTGGATGCCAGATAAAGTGGGCCTCACTTGCTGCAACATATGGGTGTGTGCGTGTGCTGAGTCCCAGATTTACCCTGGGACCACCTTTAAGTTCATGCAGGGGCACGGCGCCTGATTTTCAAGCCGGGCCAACGAAGCTACGGAAATCGACGCAGCATCTTGTACCTGCAAAAGAGCCTCATTGTCTGGTGGGTTTTTGTTTTCCGCTGTTGCTTTGCAAGGACCATTGGCTCGATTGGTGATGCGTTCATTGTTGATTTCACAGTCTGAAGCCAACTCGAAATGAAGCAGTCGAACCTGTCTTTCCTCTCCTCTCTTGCATGACGTACACGAATGTACCAAATATTGAAGTGTGTCTTTTTTGAGGGTACCACTTCCTTGGTGGTTCAAAAGGAAAAACAAAGGGCAAACTACCATTCCCGAAACGCAGGCACACCCATATCTCCATCTGTACCCACCCTGTATTTGCATCCGACTGGATCCTTTGCCACTGCCCCAATGCGTCCGACATGGCGGGACCCGCGAGATGAAATCATTGGATTCCGACAAAGATTTGGTGGCCACGCAAAGACTGATTGCTAGACCCTCTCCTGCTGGATTCACATGGAAAGCCCATTCTGGGGGCCAAATCTGAGTTTTGCATCTGGCTGTGGCGCCGCCCCCACGTCCCTCGATTTTTCGCGATGGCATGTTTAACGAACCATTCAAGACCATGCACAGATTCGCTCTTCTGCATCTAGCGACATCCCCGCCGGTCAGAATGTTCATGCACACGCTTCTGAAGATTGAAGCACTCACCCCTCGCGTCAGCCAAGCTCAAGATGACAACACAAGTTATTCAACTGCAATCAATCACGGCCCAGAGATTCCCCAAGTGAGGAAACTAGCACAAACGCAACCCAAACGCGCAGGTTGTCTGAGACCAGTTTACATGGGCCAGGAGCAGGACACATTGACGTGCACTTCAGATGTTGTCCTTGAATTCTGGCACGGACTCATTCTTAGTTGGAAGCAGTAGAGCAATGCAAGAGGCGCCATGAATGTTTGACGTGACACAAACGAGTCCCATTGTGCCCATGTTCAGCGTCAATAAACTGACAGCCATTACAGAAGAGCCATTCGATTTTCGTGGTTTGCCACGTGCTGGCGACATCATTCTAGAATGAGTTGAGAGAGATGAAATCTTTGACCTGTTGGAAAAGACACCAGAATATCTCGTATGAAATCAACAAGGACAATGTATCAGTCACAAGCTAATTCCCCTACGTGACGTAGCCTGAGAAACGAATCCCGAGCTGGGCCCAGTGGAAGAGTTGATGTTCTCATCTCCCGAATCTTGTCTAAATCGCATCGCCCTGGGATGTACGCAAGGGGGCGTGGAAAAGCGTGCGGCCCTCGCCTGATCATGGGGAATCCCAAAGCCCGACATCAACCCGTAACCAAAGGACATTCGCTCAAAGAGTTGGCTACGGAAAAGCGCAATGATGACCCGGCTTCGAGAAATCACACACAAAGAGGCCCAAGGAGTCAACATCAAGCTGAGAAAAGAGAGAAAATCGGGAACGATATTTGCCCCGGCTCGCACCATCCACGCCTTGGGGTCGCCGAGGCCTCGAGCCCAAGAAAATCCGAAGGAACTGATCGTGACATATCCAATGCCCCTTCTGTGCGTTTTCCCCTGAAATTCTGGCCAATTGCGACAAGGCCATGTAGCCAAGCCAGCGGAGCCCTTTTGCACAAGCCGCCATCGACCGAGGCGGACACTGTGGCTTATCCCTGAGCGGCCACATTGTATCCTTGCCCTGCCCGAGTGTACATTTTGGCTTGTGTTTGCCCTCTAAACATCACAGAACCTTTGGGCGCGGTCGCTCTTTTTTGACCGAGAAGCTGCCGAAATCCCGCAAAAGATAACAAACAATCATCCCTCTGCCAGAGTCCTTCTTCCCGAAAAAACGGCGCCGAAATAAAAAAGGATCATGTCCACTCTGAACGCTGCACATGTTGTTCCTTGTTGTCGCTTCCCTGGCCCTGCGTCACCTGGCAGGAACCTATTGCTACCGAATGCTAGCGATACACTTGCTCGAAAACAAAATGGCCGGCACCCCGGCTGCAGCCGGGCTGTCGACCTCACAGCCCGTGGGGCTCAGATAGAATTGCCCTTCTCTGCCCTCAGCCTGAGCGAAAAGGCTGGCAGTAGGACTGGCCCCAAAATGCATATGTCTATAGAAGAAGGGGGAAGCTGAAAAAACATGCGCAAAGCGACCCTGATGGGGGGGGGGGGGGTGGGGTGGAGGGTTGGGCCTCCTCTCAGCGCTGTCGTGTGCCTTGTTGGTCAGGGCACGCCTTCTGACTGAACTGAAGTTGTGAGCGAAAGTAAATACCACACACAACCCCTCATTTGGGTTTAGCCATCCCCTAGGAAATTGTGCCATCTACTTTCACCCAGGTCTATATACTACTCACAAACTGGATCAGTCGCCCATGGAAATGCAAAAGATAGAAAACGACCCTAAATGAGGTTCCCCATTTTGTCAGCTTCCTGACAAGAAGAAATCATGTAGGCAGGGTGGGCATGGTATTATGGCACTTAGATCAATCCAAGAAAGCTGCTCCTGTGCTTCCTTCTGAAAGCAACACTTCTGCAGCCCCAGCATAGCCGCTGGAGAAATCAAACAAAATGTGAACAAATGAAAAACAAAGAGAAGCGAACACAATAAGCCCACTTCGCATCCCAAACAGCCCCGGAATCCTCTGAAACCCTCCAGAAAGCTGCTCTGAATCACCCCAGAGTTTATTTGGGATAGCTGTTGGGCAACAATGAAGCACGAAATAAAACATCCATTGCCGGGCCGCAGCTTTGCGTGTCCAGCAAAATGGAGCGGCGATCAAAGAGGGCCTTGGCCCTGCGGTCTGCAATATCCTGCCAAGGCAACGGAATGTGTACAGCCGCGCAAGCCCAGCAGGCTTAGCCCACGAACCCTTGAGAGATGGTCGTCCATACCGTTACCCCCTCCTGAAATGAAAGTTCGGACTGAGCCGCTTGAATTGGCAACGAAGTCGAAGTATCAAACAAAAGCGAGCAAGTGCTTGAGCCGTTCCCTGCCGGGTTTTCGTTGGTGGCCAGTGCCATGCCGTCTATTTTGCGTGAGAGGTGTGCCTCTCAATCTCACCAAATACTTGGATCATGACATTGTCAAAAAGGTGTCATCCAAAATAGACACATCAGGACACATGCACGTGGTGAACCTCGCAAGCCTGTGGCCCATTCATCTCGGCACAAACACAAGTGCCAGTCCAAGGGAAGGAGGCGCATTGCTGTGCCTGTTTGACGAGCGCGTTCTCAAGAGATTGCGCTTGCCTCGGATGCCGTAACCGCAAACAAGCGACATGGGAGGCCTGCTCCTGGCCTCTTGATGGCCCAAATGAACTCCGTGCTGCCAAACACAAACTTCAGTTCGTGTCCGGAACTGGAACTGGTACCGAGAAAGCTGGGCGTGTCGCAGGCCTCGGGGTCCACTCCAACTGAGCTTTGCGACGAAGCTAACCTTTGGGACCAACCCTTGTCCGAGCTCGGGGTTCCTCAGCATGATTTGGGCTTTAACATGTGGAGTTGAGATTTACCTTTCTGATGTTTCCACCGAGCCATCCCCCTCCTCAGCCCCCCCCCCCGCATGCACGCGACAGCCGACTCGGTCGCCCGCGCGCAGGGAATCCGAGAGATCGGTTCGAGCCAGGTTGCTGCTGCATGACACCCTTGCGGCAGGCATCGAAGGTCTCGAATGAGGGCAAGCACTTCCTGAGGTGCTCAGCTGTTCTGGGGGCTTCCTTTCTAGAGCCAACAGGTGCTGTTTGTTTCCCCAAAAAGTGGAACAGCGACATGCCAAAAAGCGTCGAGCAAAACGCAAAGTACAATGCACATAGAGCGTCCGTGCAAACTTTGCCCAAAAACTTTGCCCAAACAAGCCCATAACCTCTGCCCTGGCTGCGCTTTTCCGGTGCCCTTGCAAAACTGGGCGGCTTCCTGGACGTTCACGTATGCTCGGAATCTGCCGGGTTCCAGTTGGAACTGCTGTAGTAGAGTTGATGCGCAATGAGAAGTCAAGCTATGTTGTGATGTAGTTTGACGCGGAGCTTGCAGAGTTGTTGGAAGCAAGTACTCATCTTGTCTAGAGATACAGATACCCAAAGCCTGGCACCTTAGGCCTAGTCAGCAATGATTCATCCAGGCGAGGTCAAGGTTCAAAATCAAGGGCTCTCCGCGCGCTCCCCAAAGTCTCAGTTGCCATGAAGCTACACAATGCTCGTCTACCCGTGAATGGGCTAGTGCACCCATGTCGCCTTGCTGTTTGCGGATGCACACACGCTCGTGTGTGTGTGTGTGGCTGTTTGTTTGTTTGCTTGCCTGCTTGCATGCTTGCTTGCTTGCTTGTTTCCTTGTCTGTCTGTTTGCGTGTTTGTTTGCTTGTGTGTTTGTTTGTTTGTCTGTTTGTTTGTTTCTTTATTTCTTTCTTTGTTTGTTTGTTTCTATTGATTGTTTGTTTGTTTGTTTGGTTGTTTAGTTGTATTTTGTGTGGTTTGGCTTTGCCTTGTTTGGTTGTTTGGCTTGTGTGTTTGCTTGCTTGCTTGCTTGCTTGCTTGCTTGCTTGCTTGCTTGCTTGCTTGCTTGCTTGCTTGCTTGCTTGCTTGCTTGCTTGCTTGCTTGCTTGCTTGCTTGTTGCTTGCTTGCTTGCTTGCTTGCTTGCTTGCTTGCTTGCTTGCTTGCTTGCTTGCTTGCTTGCTTGCTTGCTTGCTTGCTTGCTTGCTTGCTTGCTTGCTTGCTTGCTTGCTTGCTTGCTTGCTTGCTTGCTTGCTTGCTTGCTTGCTTGCTTGCTTGCTTGCTTGCTTGCTTGCTTGCTTGCTTGCTTGCTTGCTTGCTTGCTTGCTTGCTTGCTTGCTTGCTTGCTTGCTTGCTTGCTTGCTTGCTTGCTTGCTTGCTTGCTTGCTTGCTTGCTTGCTTGCTTGCTTGCTTGCTTGCTTGCTTGCTTGCTTGCTTGCTTGCTTGCTTGCTTGCTTGCTCTTGCTTGCTCTTGCTTGCTCTTGCTTGCTCTTGCTTGCTCTTGCTTGCTCTTGCTTGCTCTTGCTTGCTCTTGCTTGTGCTTGCTTGTGCTTGCTTGTGCTTGCTTGTGCTTGCTTGTGCTTGCTTGTGCTTGCTTGTGCTTGCTTGTGCTTGCTTGTGCTTGCTTGTGCTTGCTTGTGCTTGCTTGTGCTTGCTTGTGCTTGCTTGTGCTTGCTTGTGCTTGCTTGTGCTTGCTTGTGCTTGCTTGTGCTTGCTTGTGCTTGCTTGTGCTTGCTTGTGCTTGCGCGTGCTTGTGCTTGCTTGTGCTTGCGCGTGCTTGCTCTTGCTTGTGCTTGCTTGTGCTTGCTCTTGCTTGTGCTTGCTTGTGCTTGCTTGTGCTTGCTTGTGCTTGCTTGTGCTTGCTTGTGCTTGCTTGTGCTTGCTTGTGCTTGCTTGTGCTTGCTTGTGCTTGCTTGTGCTTGCTTGTGCTTGCGCGTGCTTGCTTGTGCTTGCGCGTGCTGCGCGTGCTTGCGCGTGCTTGCGCGTGCTTGTGCTTGCTTGTGCTTGCTTGTGCTTGCTTGTGCTTGCTTGTGCTTGCTTGTGCTTGCTTGTGCTTGCTTGTGCTTGCTTGCTTGCTTGTGCTGCTGTGTGCTGCTTGCTTGCTTGCGCGTGCTTGCGCGTGCTTGCGCGTGCTTGCGCGTGCTTGCGCGTGCTTGCGCGTGTTTGCGCGTGCTTGCGCGTGCTTGCGCGTGCTTGCGCGTGCTTGCGCGTGCTTGCGCGTGCTTGCGCGTGCTTGCGCGTGCTTGCGCGTGCTTGCGCGTGCTTGCGCGTGCTTGCGTGTGCTTGCGCGTGCTTGCGTGTGCTTGCGTGTGCTTGCGTGTGCTTGCGTGCGCTTTCGTGCGCATGCTTGCGTGTGCATGCTTGCGTGCTTGCGTGCTTGCGTGCTTGCGTGCGTGCGTGCGTGCGTGCGTGCGTGCGTGCGTGCGTGCTTGCTTGCTTGAATGTTCCGGGGGGTTGCTTATTGGTTGAATGCTTTATAACCTTGTTATAAGTCCTTCCTAAATACATCATAACATGTAATTAAGTGGTTATAATGCATCTAAGGTTTTGAAGAGGTTCTAAGGAAACCATAAGTGTCTTAATCAAGTTAGGCAAAGTTACCCACACCTAACCAGTTAACATAAGAAAAAACTAACCTCTGTGCTAACCAGGCTAACCCCTTTAGTACGATTTTTTGAACATGCGAACCAGGCTTTTTTTCGGATATTTTCTTCAATACCATATTGCAATTCCACCCACAACATTATTTTTTGTGTGACATTCAACAAGCAAAAAAACAATATATCAGTCGCAGAAAAACCACTCGTTGGAAACCTGCCTCATGCAAGGTCGCACTTGGTTGATGTATAGATGCACAGGAGCATGTGTCCATGGAAGCATTCTGCTGTTTTGTTTCTCACTTGCCTGCTATTTGCTTTGCAAGAGTCGGGATCCTGTGCATACTTTTGCAGAGAGCGTGAACAAAAACATTCGGACGCATGGAAGAGAGCTTTGCAAATGCATGATATCAACGCATGGAAGCATACAAGCATACAGGTGATCTGTGTTGCTTTGTCTGAGCTTTCGGGCTTCGTTCATTTGAGCCTTCGGGCTGCATGTTTCGAGCCCATATAGGCTTCATGTGTTGAGCCCTCGGGCTGCATGTGTCGAGCCCATATAGGCTTCATGTGTTGAGCCTTCGGGCTGCATGTTTCGAGCCCATATAGGGCTTCATGTGTTGAGCCCTCGGGCTGCATGTGTCGAGCCCATATAGGCTTCATGTGTTGAGCCTTCGGGCTGCATGTTTCGAGCCTATATCGGCTTCATGTGTTGAGCCTTCGGGCTGCATGTTTCGAGCCCATGTAGGCTTCATGTGTTGAGCCCTCGGGCTGCATGTGTCGAGCCCATATAGGCTTCATGTGTTGAGCCTTCGGGCTGCATGTTTCGAGCCCATATAGGGCTTCATGTGTTGAGCCCTCGGGCTGCATGTGTCGAGCCCTGAGCCTTCGGGCTGCATGTTTCGAGCCTATATCGGCTTCATGCGTTGAGCCTTCGGGCTGCATGTTTCGAGTCCATATAGGCTTCATGTGTTGAGCCCTCGGGCTGCATGTGTCGAGCCCATATAGGCTTCATGTGTTGAGCCTTCGGGCTTCATCGGTTGAGCCCTCGGGCTTCATTTGTTGAGCCTTCGGGCTTGATGCGTTGAGCTTTCGGGCTTCATGTTTTGAGCCTTCGGGCTGCCAGTGCCCTGGAGCTTCATGTTTGTTTATTTAAAAAGCTGCATGATTCGAGCCTATAGGGCTGTTTGCATGTGGCAAAGCCCATGGAGGCTGCATGTTTGGAGCCTTCGGGCTACATGCCTGGAGTCGTCGGGCTGCATGTTTTGGACGGGTTTTTCTTTTATTGTACCTGATTTCGAGCTGCTTGTGTCAATACCAAGTGGCTGCATTGGCATGGCATGCTCTGGGGAAAGTTATTTGTACCGAGCCTTCGGGCTTTCAAAATTGGGAAGCCCGTGCATCTATACACAGGCTGCATGCCGAGTGCATATTTGCAGATGACGATCGAGTACCTGTTGTCCTTGAGTTGGATTTGCAAGTGCTGGATTTGCACATGTTGTCAGCCATTTACCAAGCTCGGATTTCATGGCACTCCTTCCCGAGACTCGCGAGATTGCTAAAGCTATCCTCGAGGCCGATGAGCCTGTCAACTTGAAAGTTGCCAAGCTGAACAGCATCTGGCTGCAGAACAACCTTTCCTCCCACGAGAAAATGTTGCCCTCGAAGATGATGGTGCACCCCCACAATCGTGGAGGCAACCTGATGAACGGGCACGATATGCTCGCGAAAGGCTTGAGCATGATGGAGCAAGGAGTGCGTGTGGACCTCTTGGAGTCCAGTGCTGTGTGCTTCGCACTATCTCGTGATCTCCAAAAACGCCAGGAGCAGACCGATGCAAACTCCACCCTCAGCGACCAGTTCCCTGGGGTCATGCCTCGCATAACAGGGGAAGAAAGGTTCCTGACTGTCGGAGCCTCGCACTCCACAGCCTTTCTCAAGGCTGTGATGCAGGGTTTGCATGCTGGCTCCACAGATGCCACCAAAACGGTGGGTCACCCTGTCCATCGTTGCTGCACCGAGGGGTGGACCTGGCTGGTCCTTTCGGACCTGCTGGAGGAGGCTTTCCCGACTCTGCCGTTGCTTTATGCCTCGGCCCTCAATGCCTCCAACACAGCTCAGGTGGAGTCCACCGAGGTGGAAATCCTTGCAACCTTGAGCAAACACATGCAGATGGGCAAGACTGTCGAGGAAGCTATCGCAGCAACAAAGCAAGGATCCCCTTCGTGCTCCGACTACATCGACGTGATTGCTGTCTTCGCTAAAAGGTTCACTGGAGGCCAAGGAATGCCACTGGCCCAGTTTCTGCAGGCCTTCTCGAAGGTCTACGGAAAATCCATAATGGTCGGCAGCGACTTTATGCGAACTGTGACGTTCACAGACTTCAAAATTCAAGGTGAGCTGATGCCGCTCTTTCGCATCGCATGCCTAGCATGCCAAATCGCCAGCCCAAAGATCGTCGACAAGATCGGTCGCTTGGTGACGAAGTCGGATGTCAAGAAGTTGAAGGGGAAAGCGAAGTTGTTGGATGCTGAAGACGTCCTTCGCACAGCCTGGTCGGCGATGCAAGTTGCAGGTCATGTGGCCGAGGGCCAGAAGCGCACA